AACAGGACCTTAGATGGCCACATGGATTCCATAGGGTAAAACGGGACAGTGAAGAGGATAACTAGGTTCTTCCATTACAAAGAAAATGCTGCCTTCACATGAAGCCTGAATATTTCTGTCAAACCTCGAGGGATCAATGATCCACCAGCCAGATAGAGCAAAAGAGAAAACACTGACTGCATAAATTATGTCTGTTTATCCCATTCTAAATGAACACTTTCATCTACCATAACATGATTGGCATTGGAAATTTGGATCTATTAAGATTGTGTGCATTAGGGAGGTGCATAGGCATCAGAATGCTCATGGCAAAGAGGTCAAATTCTGTGTAGTTGTGCTGTTCAGGTGAATATCTGAGAGCAATGTATGAACTACTGAGAGAATAACACAGCCAGAGGCAACCTAGTGGCCAGGTCTCTGGTTTGCAGAGGGTTCTTATGTCATGGCTAAAGGGAGCATTAAAATAGCCATTGATTTCAAAAGAAAATCAATTATAATTAAAATGTGACAATGACAGTTAACTGCAAGACTGTTCTGAATAGGGCTGAAGTTTTAGGCAGGCATGTTTTGTTTCATTTTGAAAAAAAAAATCCCCTCTGGAAATGGGTAATGTACTTATCGTAGAGGAGCAGACAGCTCAGCAAATTCACATTCTCAGGCCTTTTCCCCTGACGCTGTTCTCCTGTCAGATTTCAGAGACTGTGAGTCTCTTACTGTAAGGGGGACAGATGGAGTCACAGCCTGGTGGCCTAAATTCTTTGGGTAAGGGTGGTGTGATGAGTCACTCCCTCTGCCCAGGGTGATGATCAAGGGCTCCTTGGGTGCTATAGTCTGAAGGGCCTGGGCAGGAATGACATGGGGCCAGGCTCCCTGTGGATATCAGGACCTCACAGATAGGGTTACATTCAGGTTCCTCACTCATCTCATCTTTGGTCCTTGCTCTTTCAAGGTTCCCTACTTTCCGAAGCTATCACTGAAGCCAGTAACCAAGGGGGAACCATGAGCCTCACATGTCAGCTCCTGGCTTTATTGGTGACACAAAGGGAAGCTCCAATGTAGACTTCCTGTTCTTTTCCTTCCTCAGATCCTCCCTTTCCTTTTATGGGTATTTGGAGGCAAAATAATTGACATGAACACTTCATTGCTAAAATGCCTAGAATTTTGGTCCATTCACTGGCCCAAATGAGATTCATGACCATCCTTCATGAGGATGGCTGTCTTCCTACCCTCCCACCAGCTGTTTACCAGATTGTTTCATCAGCTAAAAAAAGTCTCATAGTATAATGAAATGGGGTTTGCTCTAAAATATTAACTATTCTCATTTTCAGGAGCAAGAATATCTAGACCCAATAGGAGTTTTGAAAAGCAAAATTATCTCTCTAGACTTATATTTTAATTTTCACTAGGTATCTCCCAAGTTGTCGCAAGTTTTGCCCTACCTTGCCGATAATAATTGTCCTACCCACTCCTGTCTCAATGAAGAATGGACTTTATTCACTTTTTAAAAAAAGGGACTTGTCACTGCCTATAACTTATTTGAGTTCAGTTCTCTATAGTATGCTTTAAATTAGCACACAGTGGCAGAAGATGCCTCCCAAAGGGGAATAATTCATGGCCAATGGCATAATGAGATTTATGAAGAAGGTTGGCCAGGAGAAGGAAAGGAAACATTATCGGTTACCAGAGCAGCTGAAGTGAAAGGACAGTACCAGCTCCAAGAGTTTCTTCAGAGGGACACAGACTGACACTGGCTACTGCTAAGTAGAGCCAAGAGAGGAGGAGGAAGGATAAACAGGGCTTCAAGAATACAGGGACCAGAGGATAAGGGAGGGCCATACGGTCAAAAGTGATGTTGTCTCCCCCTGAGGTAATGAATCCCTTTATATTTACAGAGAAAGTAGTAGTTTAGAGACTAGAATTCTCTCTAAGCCAGCTCATTCAAATCCTAACTTACTTTCATTGGAAATATATAGATAAGAGGTAAAGTGTTCAATTACCTCAACTCTTATCCTCCCTTTGGGAGAAGTGACCCTGTAGACAAAGCCTCAGAAAGGGTGAGAAGCCACAGAGCTCAGGAAAGAAATATAAAGACAAGGTGGTGACCAGCATGGACAGTTCACCCAAGGCCACAAATGTGGAAGTAGCGTGTAGTGAAATACACTGGTCCTATTGGACTACCACCTGGGGTCTACAAGGCTGTGTGATTAGTGAGCCAGAACTGTGACAAGGTTCTTTGTTGCAAGTGTTAAAAAAAACAAGCTAAATATTGGATCACAGATCAGTCCCAGCATGGATCAGGTTGTTAGAGACTCAGTCTTGGTAGTAAAGTGTCTGGATACAAGCTCTACCCAAAGCATCTGAAAAGCTGATACCTAAAATTTGATCAATATCCTTCATAGTTTCTCCCTCTGTCACTTACTTGTTTGAGTATCATGTAGTGTTCCAAGTACACTTTCCTAACCATAAAACAGTCCAAAACAACTTCAAAGGACAAAGCACTTAGAAAAATCCAGATTTCATTTGAAATCTGTATACATGTAGCATATACATGTGATTGTGTGTGCAGATATATATAGAGAAACTGGGGGGATTTATCCTTAGGTGCTACTGCAGATACAAATGGACAAAATAGTGACTCCTCCTCAATTATAATTCATAATAATATCAAATATTTACTAATGCCTTTCATATACAAGGCACTCTGTTTAGTGCTACAGAAGATGAAAAGATTTAAAAATACATGGCCCTGAACACAGGGAGCTTATGCTGTAGCAGGAGAGATAAGATGTATAACCAAATACCTATGAAATAAGATGTCCCATGATAGCTGCCACTAGGGAGATACAATGAAAGTGTTATGGGCATTCATAAAATGTCTAAAATTATTTTCTGGATGGAACGTGAAGTTCTGCTCTTTGAAGACTTATATAGAGGGAATGGATATTATTCAGGAAGGGAGTGAAAGGGGAGATAGGAGAGTATTTTGGGCAAAGGGAGCAGTTTAAGGGAAGACACAAATGGGTAAAACAAGCTGGTAGGGGAAGTGGAAACAAATGTGATTCAGCTTGTCTGGATTATGGGGCACACACCGTCAAGTAACAAGTTACTGCTGGCAGACTATGGCAAGTGAAGCCCACTGAAGGTTGTTTCTTGATCTGAAGAATGACATCTGATTTATATTTAGGAAGTTGAGTACTGATAAGAGTAGATTCAAATATAAAATACTGGAACAATGCTAAAAGATTCTGAAATAATCCAGAGTAGAAGGAAGGGTCTGAATGAAAAGGGAAGACTGGAAAACTTAGGGGGAAGAATTAGTAGGCTTTTCAAATTTTTAGATATGCAGGATGAAGAAAACAGAGGAGGCAAAAGTGCCCGAGAAGCTTGAGTTTGGTGACAGAAGACATGGTGATACCATTAAACATAAAGGAGGAACTTGGTGATTATGTTGGTTTGCAGCAATGGTCTTGGATATTTGAGTCAAGATGAAGTTGAGCCAGAAGGTGACTGGAAGTATGTGTATTAAGGAAAAGCAAAAGGTAGGAGCTAAAAGTGAAGATTTGGGATTCATCTTCATTCAAAGAGTTATTGAAGTCAGAAAGATTGCTACAGAGCATGAAAATAAGGAGAGGAGGGTCAAGCTCAAAATACCATGGCAAGTCAATGCTCAGGAGATAAGAGGAAGAGCAGGAACCAATGAGGTAACAGGACCAGCAAACTAAGATTGAAACCAGAATGCATTGCCTCCCAATGGTAATTGTCAATGAGGCTGATGAGCAGGGAAAGTAAAGAAAGGCTATTGGCTTTTGTAGCAAGAACTTCATTGGAATGTTGCCTGAGAGTAGTTTCAAAAGAGTGGTAGGATGTAGCCCATTGATGAAGCCATGAGCATAAGGTGAGGAAGTGGAGAAAGAAAGACTACTCTTTTGAGAAGCTGGGAAGTGAAAAGATAAACACAGATAGGACAGAAATTCAAGAGTCAAATTGGATTGAAAGATTTGTCTTTAGAGATAGTTGTAGGATTGGTTTTTTTTGAGATAGTTGCAGGTAGATGTGTGGAAGGAATTAAAGATGCAAAAGAGAGAAGTACAGTTGGCTGGAGAGCACCTCAGAAGAGGTCAGAGCATAGGGAAGAGGAGCACTCTGTTGGGAGAAAGGATGGGGAAGATGTGTGAAAGACAAGAGAAATCTAAAGGCAGAGAGGACAGCATATGTGAGGATTCAATAATCAGATTTTCTTGCGAACACAGTAGGAAAGATGGCCTGTTGAAAGACAGGACATGAACATGAAAGGGAAATAAAACAAATTTAACAAACAGAATGTGACACTGAGTCAACATTGGAGAATTTAAAAAGTTGTCCAAGTGAGTAGGGTTCAGGCGAGGTTAAATTGATTGATTTTGTGCTCTTGAGCATAGGTTTAAGACTTTCTCTTCCTGGAAATGCAGTGAATGACAAGGGGCTGGGGTGCAGTTAGCTGAGCATGGTTGGTGTAGTGAGGTGGCAAGAGGAAAAAGGAATTGCCAGTAAGAATATTGCTAATGTGGATAAATACAGGGTTAGATCAAAGAGGGAAGTCAACGAGGCCAGATGGATTTATGGACCAGAACCACAGAGGGGTCTTGAAGGAAGGAAGATATAGAAAAGGCAAGGTTGTGTTAGAGAGGAAACCCCAGAATTTAGCTCTGGGAGGTGTAATAATTTCGAAAGAAGTCCAGGCCTGGCCATGACATGGGAAGTTGAATCTCTGCAATGTTTTTTCAGATAACATAATGGATATCTTTGACTCCTACCCTGAAACTAGAAAATATTAAACTTGCATGTACAATCATACAAATGTATGTATACCTATTTATAAATTTACATATTTTGTACTTATGCATTCATATATTGTACGTGAGTACAATATACTCCATTTTGAAACCTTTTATATCATTCACAGAACTAGCCTAGGGACATAGTACGTGCACAATAGACGTTGGTTTAATTAAACTCACATATTTAACCAGAGAGCTTTTATTTTTTTCTCCTGCATAGTACTAGAACCTGCTCCACCCCTTAAATCACAACACTAAAATAATTACAGATAAAGGAGTTTAGGTTTAAAGTGTGGAAACCCAATCTTTAAAATAACAGTTTAAATTGGGCTTAGTGTTGTGCTTTTTAATTGTACCTTTATTCTTGCATTGAGTTCTCCTACCTTTGCCAAAACACAGACTCAACACACCAGAGTGCCAAGGCTCTGAGGAATTCTACTCATCTACTCTGCTTTTCACCTTCAGTTCTTTCAGGAGCCCTTACCCACATAATCACCCCAGCAATTATATTCAAAGCATGAAGCAGCTCCAGAAACTCACTGTGCGGAGCTCTGAGAGACGCAGAGAGAAATGTGGAAGATTTCTAACTTTCCGACTTATTCCCAGTACTGCTATTCTAACCCATTACTCTGAACAAAATTCTTTTTTCTTGCTTCAATATTGTAAATTAGAAGCCCTAAACTTCACAGATCTCTCCAAGGCATAAAAGTAGCAGCACTGGCTTTCAATTTAAGGTTCTGGGTGGGGGCCTTTGTCGTGGGAATAGATAGGCTGTCTCTTCTGAGTCATGTAACTCACAGGGCCCCTGTGTGACTGAATCAATGTGGTTGGAATGAGTTGAGGGTGGGATGTTCTCAGATATCCTATGATTTTATACAATACTGGAACCCCCCCCAAACTAGAATAGAATCCTAGATCCAGATCAATATTAGACATTCTCAGACTGACTAATCTGCATTTTAGTGTCATCCCAAACATCTGATAGGCCTAAGAAACAGTTGCCCCCCAGGTTAAGTAGCACCTGAGGTCATAAGTGGCTCTTTTACCAGCTAACAGGGCACCCCCCCATGGAGGTGGAAAGTATAGGATATAGACCAACTCAGCTAATTGGAAGATTATTTAAACTGGAACAGAGACCAGACAATGACAGTAACTTTTATTGTATCATAAATTCAATTTGATTTTTCTAGCTGCCTACTCAGTAACATGTAATGGAGAAGCATCACTTTTCCATTTTCTACAGAAAGAATCATAGTTCTCAACCTGCCCTACAAGATACTGAATTTAGAAATTCACAAATTATACACTCATGTGATTGTGTATTGAAAATAATTCCTAACCAGGAGTCCTATTTAGGTGTCACATGAGCCTTAAATAAAAGCAGGTGGAGGATAAAATATGGTTTAAATGTCTTTGCCGTCTAGAACCTGTATCCTTGTTCCCTACTCTATTGCTCTTAGTGCTCTCTGCTCCCTTCCTCTTCTCTTGTATCATAACTTATTCCCAGGAAAAGGAGTGAGATTCCTAATGTAAATTAGGTGATTAAATGTATAAATCCCTAATATGGCTTAATATGTCACCTTTCCTGGGATTACTTTCATTTGAATGACAGGCAGCTCAGCTCAGCACTAAAGCAACAAATCTGTGTGGGAAGGCAGTAGTTGGAGAGGGGTGGGAAATGAAAAAGACCTTTTCAGGACCTTCAACACACCATGGACCACACAGCATGCGTAAGGCCAGACCCATCCCGGTGTGACTATTCACCTTCAGCTGCTTCTCCTCCATGAAGAGCTCCTTAAACAGGAAAAATCTCTGACACCCAAGTGAAGAAACCAAAAGCTCTGCTGTAGTGTGCAGCAGCCTACTGAGCATATGTTTCCTATATGGCTTTGGGCTCAGAGAGCACATAAGGAATGGCCACAATCCCTGGAAATGCTGAATGCATTCATCAACATCACTGCAGTGACATCATTTATGCACACATCTGAATCATTCCCAACATACGAAAACAGACATTCACAGGGTGTCAAGCAATGACGGGGCCTTTTTAGAGAGATGATTATTAAAAGAATAAAGTGAGTTCTGGAATAGTTTTTTCCAAAAGCTTATTGCCCAACCAATCTGGTTATTCTGTCTCTAAATCTTGAACTAACAAAAACAACAGAAAAAAAAATGAACCGAAGAAACCTAGCTCTTAGTGACATGTGCAGGTGACCAGCACTCTGCAGAGAATTCTCCTTTGGGCAACTCCCAATGGCCACGGAAGACCGGGTGGGTGATAGTCACTTAACTGTATAGATGACTCCTACTGTATCACGTCATACATGCGTTTTTGGCACTACTGACACCAGCAACATTTAATGGAATCATTTGGGATTTTCCCCTCAATCACAACATGGCTGTGGCCAGTGCAGGGGAATACACACAAAGGATGTTTCCCAAGTTCTGGCTGAGGATACACAGTGACAGATTTTGAAATAACAAAGTCCACTGTACATGCATCACTTTGAAAGGTGTGCACATTCTCGACTCAGGCAAATTCAAGAGTCAGATTATTGTCAGTGGAAATGCTGAGATTTAAGCATTGCCACTGAAAGGAGTTCATACAGGACCACACTCACCAACCACTTCTGCAATGGAAGGGAATGATAGAGGGTACAAAGAGAGAAAGCATGGATTCTGAAGAACATGTGAATATTAGGTACTCCTGAGGGTATCTGCGGAATCTCACAGTTTTGGATGGATTGAGTGTTGTTTCATACCCATCTGTGATATAGATTGGGCTTATAGCTGAATTATTTCTCATGCATTTTACTTGCTTGTTATTCTGGAATTAAGTAACATCTAGATTTTAACAATGCCCAGCCTTCCTTTCTTTACGCTTTCTTGAGCAGACCATGAGTAACTTAGTCCCAGTGCAAATATCCAGTTGAAGAAAAGTGACCAATTGGGGCCAAATAAGGAGTTTAGAAAAATAAAATTATCCAGCTAACAGCTTTCATGATGGGAGGATAGGAAAAAATGTAGTGAATATACTGGGTAAATGGATTTGGAAATTTTAACCTGTGATAGAGAGAGGCTGCCAACCTCCACAAAACCAACAGTCTAGGAAAAGAAGTTCGATTGGTTAACCAAAGGCCAGATTATGAACACCTGGCTCAAGGCCAGTAGCACCTTCCTGATGGCAGTAATGAGGACAAGGCAAATAAAGGGCCACTATTGGCACCATTGCTCACATACCCATCCTCCCACCTCTAAACCTAACTTCAGCAATCTTGCTAAGGGAATCATCTCACCACTGAGTTTTTAGTGGATCTCATCATCTTTTCTAGAAAAGCATGCAAATTTGTAAGACACATATCCAGCACTACTTCTCTGGTTATGTGATAACCAGATATCACATGCTTCAAAAAGTAGTTAGTGGAGATTTTTCCAGGTGTGTTTGCCAGGCTGATTTCTGAGGGTGGAGGTGGGGCAGGGAGTGAGTCAGCGCCCAGGTCCTAAGGAAGAAAAGACTCAGATGACTGAGATGATTGTTTCAGCATCAGAGGAGGCCACTGGGAGATTTCTCAGGATTGAGCTTCCTGAAACCTTTCAGTCACACCAAGAACGGGAAGTTAATTTGACCTTAATTCTGTTTAAGCCCTTTTGGGAATCTTTCCTACCCTAGGTACTGACAGAGGAAATATGGTGCCACCAGCCTGTCTTTGCATGTTATGCGGTAACCTAGGGTCTACCTAGAAGGATAGGAGTCAGACCTGGGGTTTGCATAGAGCCAAACTGAACCCTATGTAAAGCCCTGGCCAAAGTGCATGAACATTTCTCACAAACCAGTAAGAAGACTGGTTTTCTGGGCGGGGGTGGGGGGGGGGGGGGGAATGGACACAAATTACTTTCCCCTGGCTTTTTCACCATAGTGGCCTCCCTGGGCATTCACTTTTTCCAGACACCCTGAAGCAAAAGCCATACAAAACAATTCCCCCAGTGGAAAATGAAAACCCATAACAAAACACTTTTTCCCTCTCATTCCCATCCCCACCCCACTCCCTCCAGCCCAACACCCTGAATACTCACAAGAGAACACTTTATCTATACAAAATTAATTAGAAAACAAAATATTTACATATGAAATAAACACCGTCTTGATTTCTGTTGCCAGCGGAGACTGAAAGAGCTCCCTTGGTTCTAGATTGCTGTTCGCTAGGTTAGTTGGTTTGGTTTTTTGTTTGAAAGGGGTGAGGTAAGAGGAAGATGAGGGGATGAGTCCCTGACCCCTGGACAGAGTCAGGGCGAAGCGGTGTTTACGTGGCCCTTCACCTTCTTCCTCCTGGAGGTGCCTCACGCCCTCTGTCCTCTCTCAGTCTTTCCTGTTATCTAAGGTAAAGCACTCCGTGCCCCTCTCTCCAAATCTGTGAGAGGTTCAGCCCCTTGCCCCCATGTTCATTTTAGAATGAAAACAAAGCTTTACAAGGCCTTCAGTTGGCTTTAAAATGAAAGATACTGAGGTAAAAATCAAGGAGGAGGGTCGGGGATAGCAGTCAAGGATGGGATGAGGAAGGGTCGCGAGTAAGGGCGAACAGGGGCGAAGAGCAGCCCTGGAGGGAGTGACTTGAAGAGACATGGCAGCTTCCTTCCAGAGGAGGATGAGCACCTTTCTGGTTTATGTGTCCTGTGTGCAACATGGCGATCCTGTAGTCAAGCTTCCACACAGACCCCGGGCTCTCTGGATGCCACCCTGTGTAGGGAAGGATGGCAGGACAGTGGAACTGACCCATAGAATAGCCCTACCCCAAGTTTCAGGACCGGCCGTGACACATATTCATTTCCCTTCTCAATTTTCCAATGTTAAGTGAAGGGAGCATCATGTCTGCCGGTACCCTCATCCCTGGAGTTTTATACATGTATATCTTTTTTTTTTAATTCCTCAATGGTACAATCTGAGAGGGAAACAAGGTGTTGCAGGAAGGTGGAAGGGCTTCTACCAAGAGTGTTCACTCTGGGCTCAAGTCACATTCCCAGGGAGCCAGGCCCAAAGAGGTTGTGGAGGATCCCTCTCTGCCCCCCTCTCCCATTGCCAAGTCTCTTCCCCTCTCTTCGTACCTCCTGAGCTACACTCATGGAGTGCAGCTCATTTCTCTTAATTGTCAAGTTCATTTCTCTTAACTGTCTGCTCCACAGCAGTTGTAATCAGTTTTGGGGGAAGAAGCCTGCTCTTCTAGCTTCAGGTTAAGTAAGAAGGGATCAAAGCATTGGAAACATCCCCCTCTCTCACTTACCCTACCATACACGACTCCTTACTTCTTCAAAGGTGGCTTTGCTCCTCCCCAAACCTTGGCCGGTCGACAGTCTAAATACTCAAAAGAGCTTTGTAGAATCTTTTGCTCTCAAGTGTGGGCAAAAGAATCGTGGCTGTGAAAATTCTGTTTCCCTTTAGCCTTCCTGGAAGGTTCTTGGTTCAAACTGGTTGAAAAAATTGCCAACCACTGAGGACTTGTTTTTGTACCTTGCTCTTGCAGGATTGCTCACCATCTTTTTTTTTGTCTAGACCACGGATTCTTCTTTATCAAGAATTTTCATTCTTATTCAAGAAGGATGAAGGGAGACACAGCCAAAATTCAGGTAACACATGGCCATCTCTGTCTGTATATAAGCCAAACAATCACACTGCTTGGGGATATTGAAAGAAACAACAGAAAGAGTCAAGGTTGCCTTCTCTTGAGGCACCCGACTACATGTGGGTGCAAGTGTGCATGAACACACATGCATGCACAATCCACCTGCTCTTGCCTCCAAGGCACTGTGGGACACTATCATAACGTACTTTCCAGTTTGTTCAAGAATCCGCTCCGCCACCAATGACCTTTTGTTCCTGTTCACCACCACTATGGAGTCTCATGGGGTTGAAGCAAGCATTTTTTGGCTTATATATAAACACACATGGCCTCCCAACCTCTGCTTGGCACACGATTCCTAGACAGATGTCATCTAAGCAGCATGAAGTTAGCCAGAGCCTCTTTCTTTTCACAAGCAGTGTGCTAAATGGTCTCACGTAGATGCTTTTGCTTCCTCACCTAAATGAAAAGATCAGTTTTGGGAAAAGCTACCTTTGTGCTCACATAGCCTCTTTTTGGTTCTCCTGGCTTCACTCAAAGAGGATGTCAAGGAGCTCTTCCACACCAGGAGGAAGCTCGCATGCAGCCCTTCCTTTCTCCGCTCTACCCTCCCCTGCTGAGAGGGCCCATGGCATCATCTCATGGGAACAGGAATGGCTGATAGGGGTGGAAGAAGGAGAGAACTGTGAAAAGGAGGGGAGATGGTGCTGGTCACCGGGGTTGCCCTCAGTAGGAACCAGAACTCCAGGATCCCATAAATAAATTAAAACAACAAGAAAGGAGCAAATGGGAACCAAGTTCACCCCCGTCACCCTCCGTGACATGCGCATCACACGACCCACAGCCTTACCCTCCCGTACCCACCTTAACCTCTCTGTTCCCTCACTCAGACATCAGACTCAATACTAGAAAGTTTCTCATAAACATGCCCATTGCTGGAGCCATTGAAAGCCCTGGGGTTTTTGTTGTTAGGCACACAGGGGTTGGACTGGTTCCCTATACAGATGTCCTTCTGGAAACGGGCTGGCACGGCCCCATGAAGGGCCGAGACCACCGGCTTGTTGGTGACAAGGGCCCGGAAGTCCGGCCTGGCTTTCGACGCCCCCGCCACCGTGGGCTGCCTGAAGAAGTAGGATTTGCTGCCATGGAGCAAGCACTGGTCGTCCCCAAAAGTGGGGATGAAAGGGTTTTGCGTGACCCGGTCAGGGTAGAGCGACTTGCTGAGCATGTAGCCGCCGCCGGGGTTGTTGTGGTGGTGATGTCCGGCAGTGGGCACTGAGGACTTGTTGTTGGCAAAGGTGCTCTCGCCAGCTGACATCTCAAACATGTGGGCGTAGGGGCTCCCATCCATGAATCGGCCCTTGTCTTTCAGGCTTACGCTGCGCGGGGCCAGGGCGGCTTCTTCCTTCTGCAGGTCCACGAAGGTGTCGTAGGAGTGCTGCCGGCGCAGTTTGTTCCGGTTCTTCTTCTGGGCCTTGGAATTAGTCGGGCTCTGAGGATACTTAGTGGTGGAGGCGTTTGACGTCACCGCCACCGGGGCAGCCGGCTGGTCCAGTTCCTGCAGGGAGTTGTCCTCGCTGATGTCATATAGGTTGCCTGCTTTCTTGCAAGCCTCGCACCGGATGCACGCCTGCCTGCCCGAGTTCTGACCCGTCACCGTCGTGGAGTAGTTGTGCAGCTTGGAGGGACAGCTGCGGCAGAAGTTGCCCCCGGACCGGTCCTCCCACTCCACGTTGGTCAGGTTCTTCTCCCACGGTGCAGGTACCCCACTGACCACGCCGTGTTTGTCACCTGCCCCGTGCTTGATGTGGGACCTGTTGGTACAGGGCCCTCCTCCGCTGACCGAGTCGCGCTTAAAGTCGTCACTCCGCTCCTTGTAGATGTCGGTCAGGTCCACGTGCTCCCAGTGGGGTGAGTTCTCCTTTGTTCGGAACTGGTCCAGGTAGAAGTCCCGTAGCCCTTCCTTGTCCCTGAAGTAGCGCTTGTGGTCAGGGGAGCGGGGCGGTCGGCGACGGTAGGCCAGCTCGATCTCGTCAAACTCCCTGCGGGACTTGGCCGAGGCGGGCCGCTTCTTCAGGCTGTCCTTATATTGCTGCTTACGCCTCTTGGCGGCATTGCCCTCGATGTTCCCGTAGGTGACGGTGTGGGTTGAGATGTCAGAGACATCGGAGCGGATCAGGTCATCGTGGCCACTGTAGCGGTCGCTCTTGAAGGAGAATTTGCCGTACAGGTCACTGAGCTGGCTGTGCTTGGAGGAGGGGAGGCCGATGTCCAGGGGCTTCTTGCTGATGGACCTGGACTGGGTGGTGAAGGGTGGGTTGTCACAGTCGTAGAGGCCATCGATGGAGCTGGCACTGCCGATGCTATGGGGCCGGTGGTGATGGTGGTAGTGATCTTGGTACACGTTGCTGTCCTTCAGCTGCAGGTTCCCGAACGTTCTCTCCACCTCACTGATGTAGTCACTGAAGAGGTTCTCCTCACAGGGCGGGTTGTTGTAGGATTTGCAGTCAGAATGTGTGAAGCTGCGGCGATGCTCCGAGATGTCATAGACAGATGACTCCCGTCGGATGAAGTCCAGGGCGCTCTGCGGGGAGCCGTTCACACCAGACAGGTTAGCCATGTTCTTGGCTGTGCGCAGCAGGCGCAGGATGTTGGAGTGTGTGTTGTTCATGGTTGCGGTGGGGGAGTTCATTACGGATTGGCGCTCCTCGATCGCCACCCCATGGATGCAGCTGTAGATGCCCTGAAGCAAGAACGTGGGGACAGGTTAGATCTCCAGAGAGGCTAGAAATGACCACAAAAAAACACTCTCCCACCAATAATTGCCCCAACTGGATAAGAAAAAATCAGGGAAAGCATGAAGCGAATAGTCTGATATACTGTTAGATGTGGCTAGAAGCTTGTCTAATTTATACCCCTGAATTTGGTGACTGTCATGTCATGAGACGAGGTCAGTGACCTGGCCATCAGAGAGGGGGCATGGTCACACCCAGTAACTTGAGCAAAGGGACTGGAATCATAGGATATGGCATTTTTGCCTCAACTTCACAGTTGACTTACCGTGGTTTTCTATGCCTAGATTTTCACATCTTAAAAATGAGGCCATGATATCAACCCATAGCAAAAAATATTGTCAGTCTTCTGGAAATAAATGGCCATGCTCTATGGATGCTGAGGTTGCTCTGCCATGGCTGACAGTAAAGCACAGGGGAGCTCAGTAGCTCACAATTGCCACTGTTTTCCAGCTCTGACAAATTTTAAGCAGGTTTTAGAATTTCGGTCACCAAATAACAGCTGAGCAATTCTCTTCAATTCTCTTCTTGAGCCAAGCATGAACAGAATTCACAGAAAGAGAGAATTAGGAAGCCCTGGGGTCAATGAAGGATTTTTCTCCTGCTGTGCTCTACACTGTGGGAGGGAAGAATTGGGACAAACAGCCAGTACTAAATAGGAATAAATAACTCCCTTGTTGAATTCTCTCATTTATTCTCTCTTTAGCGCCTGTTTTCCTTCTTATACTTTCTCACTTAATATTATCATCAATAATTAACATCTTAACAAATTAGTATTGATCGAGAGCTCCCTGTGTACAGCTTCTTGTACAGGGCTTTGAAGGACACTGCAGGAGAGGCAATGGGCTGGGTTCCTGGAGGGGTCAGTATGTTTGATTCTAAAGTCAAGCCAACCGCCTGCTCACATCTTGCTCCCTGCCTGGAAAGGTGGACAGACTTGGAACTTTTCTCCCTGGCTAGGGAAAGTATTTGAAAAGAGGTTGTTTGAATTGTGTCATTACAACAAATGGGACTAATTTGGAAAGGTAAGTTGTCTCAGTGGATGGGAATGAGAGGGGAGATGATTAGAAGAATCATAGCCAAATGGGAAAGAAGAAAGGTTTAGACAAGGTAAGTCTCATTGTCCCACAGGGCATCAGCAAGATGGAAGATCTTCAAGGTAAGGTTATTCCACTTTCCCAGTTCTTCTAACTCTTCCTGATTAAGGTCAAGAGAAAATTCCAAGCCTTTTTTCCTCTATAGAGGCATTGATCATGTCAAAGCATCATAAATGGGGTTTTTATTACAGATCACCAGCTCCCATGGCTTCTGGCGTTCCCCTATCTGAGATCTTAGGGAAGGGCTACCAGGGAAGCAACATGGCTCAGGGATCATCACCACCCCCAAGTTCCATCCTCCTGTTCTGAGCTCACTCGATGGCCTGAATTAACTCACAGCCAGAGAGGAAACGGAGAAATTATTCTCTATCAGTAAAATACTATAGGAAAAAGATGAAAACATGAAATAATTTAATGAGAAATCAATTTTCTCATTAATACAAAACTCCGTTTGAGTCAAAGTTGGCCATATCTGGAACCTAGACCTTCATTCATTCTCATGAATTAGTCTCTCCACTTTATTAACAAAATCAAAAGAAGCTCACTTTTTAAAAAACTTCTCCCTGTGACCTTCTGCTCATACACAAAACTGTCTTCCTAGTGTCTCATTTTGGACTAGGAATGAAGAGGAGACCTAAATAAAGAATGACCTAAGAGTTTTTACTCTTGCTCCAACTAGGGAAGTTTCTGGAATGTAAATTTCTTATGAGTCAGAGCTTATTTCTGAAGGTTCTGTTAAGCTCTTTAACTCTCCATAACCAACACATGGTTAAAACATAGAGTGAAACAACTAATAATATACCTTTGTATGTTAAAATAAGAGATATGTTACATATAATTATTTAAACAGAAATGTACATTTTTAAAGGATTAGATAGTTAATAGAGTTTATACAGAACCAACTAATGGTGATGAAAGGCATTTGGTAAAAAGCCAAATTTTCCATTTTGACAGATCTGTCAGTTCCCGTAGAGAACCAAATGCCCAAATCCCACACAGAAAGCTGTTTCTTGAAGGAAATATAGTATCACCCACTTTTCTGAGCCGCTTGCAATCACATCACACAAACTCCTGAGAAAACATACATGATGTGGTTTATTGCTTGAGCAACATGGGGGTGGAGATAGTGTCCTCTTGGGTCTCTCTGCTTTGTACAGTGCTAGGCTAAGCTGTCCCTAACAAGCTCTAGGCATTTAAATCAAAACACTTACTCTGCTGATGGAGAAGACCATGCCAGGCTTGCCAGAACAGACACCCATAAAGCAATGTCGGAACTGCCAATAGAAAAGGTGTTCGCAGATGAAGGTGATGAGGCTGAGAGCCATGGCCGCCCCCAACATGTAGAAGACCCCTGCCATGTTGTCAATGTCCAGCTGGCTGCTCATGACCTCATTCTTCTCATTGTGACAAATGCCAGTGAGCCAGAGAGCTTCCAGTTCTTCCATCTCCCCTGGGGAAAGGACAGAGAAGGAAAACAGATAAAAAGAGGAGACAGGAAAGGAGTAGAGAAAAGGGAAAAAGAGGGGTATTGAGCAAGAAAGAGAAAGATACATGAAAGGAAAAGAGACAAGGAGACAAAAAGGAAATGAAAAAAGTTAACAGTAATCTTATTAATGCCATTACATATTAATTCATCAACATACTCAGTAAGCATTCAATAAAAACTTCATGTGAGTACTGCAGGTGCTATGAACACATGAAATGTTGCTCCCACTCTCCATTATCTAGCCTGTATAAATTGGCATATAAATAATCACAATGACAAGCTGTCTGCAGGTAACAAGAGTTCAAAGTGGTGACGGTAATTCTGTGGATAGCATGGCCAGTGGTTTTTCGTGAAGTAAGTAGGAGTTGGAAGTGGGCATGCTGGATGGATGAATTTTAATTTACATTGTACAAAAAGGCACTCCAGGCAGCAGGAATAGTATGGTCGGTGGGAACACACAAGGCTTGTTTAAGGAAAGGCATACAGAACAGTTCAAACAGAAAAAGACACAGTAGGCAAAAGAAGCTGAATAAAAAAGATTGATGTGAGAGTGCTAAAGACCAGAGTATCAGATTAAGCATTCTGCACTTAATATTACAGACAGTGGGGAATAACATAATCGAATGAGTGATTCAGAGAATTGCCCTTAAAATTGTGCAAAGCAGATTGGGTAGGGAGGAGAGAGGCAGAGAGATTGATTGATTCCCTAGGGCCCCTCCGATTTACTGATCTCTTGTTGAGGAAAATAAAGAGCAAAGAGGAGTAAGCTTGAATAAAATAAGACTCCCAAATTCAGACTTGCCTTCTTTACACATTGTTTAACCATGCTTTGATTGCTTTAATTCATGTCAGATTTCAATGACCTTTTTCCACTTCACCAGATGCTAGGAAGTAGGAAGAGGTCCCAGACAAAAGGAAAGTAAAAGAAACCATGTGCCCTAGAATGCATCTAGTTCTAGACAAGCAAAATTCTGAAAATCTCATGGAGAAAATTGCCTATTCCAATAGTTCTAGTTTGGCTAAAAAACTGAACTTTGCTTGCATAATCTGACTAAAGTTTTGGCAAATTTTGCAAATCATCTCTTTCTGATGGGTATCGTCTCCATTATTGCCTTTGAGTGACAGCTACACTAAAATTACAGAAGCTCTTATACCAAAATGGCTTGGTAACACTTCAGCTAAAACATTCTCCTGTTTCCAATGTTAATCAAACCACTTTTCCCTTATTTTTTTTTAAATTAAACTATGATTCTCCTAACTAGTGGAGCAGACAACTTCACCTGGATTCTAAAAATCCACCTGTGGTCTTCTGCTTCTGATCTCATCCTTAACGGCAAACCTTCTGCAGACATAATTGAGATAGCCACTTGGCTGATGGCTGGTGAAGCCAAGAAGGGTCTGGCTGCTCATTCATAACTGAGTTAGTTTCTGTGATTCTAACAGAAAGAGTAGTTTCTTTGTACAATAAAGTGAAGAGGGATGCAGAAGACAGGAATATAATGAAACAGAAGATGAGATTTTTTTCAACTCAAGTTGGCAGCTCAGTCTGCTGCCAAGATGATACTGGGGAGTAGCTGATGGTGTCTGCCTCTGAGGACCCTAACCCTGCCTCTTCCAGCTGAAAGAGCAAGATGGGAGAGCAGGAAGAATGACTAGATGGCTGCAAGTTTATTTCTCTGCCCTACCTCTGGGCACATAAAGAGCAGAGAGCTTCCACAGTTCCATCTATTATTTTGGCCACATGTGAGATGACTGGATGAAACATCTAATATCAGTTCTCCTACTTTATCCCTGAAGGTTTGATTATAGCCTGCAACCCAGAAACAAACCTCCCTGACAAACTGCTTCAATCCTCTCCCTGCCATCTTTCACCTTGTTATGGGGTGAAAGATGTTATACCATCCCCCCAAAATATATGTGTTGAAGTCCTAACCCCCAATACCTTGGGATGTGACTTTATTTGGAAATAGAGTCATTGCAAACATAATGAAGCCGAGATCATCCCAGAGTAGGGTGAACCCCTCATCTAATACAACTGTCATTCTTAAGAAAAAGGGAAATTCAGACACAGACGTGTGCAGCGGGAAAACATGCACACTGGTAAAACACCACGTGAACATGAATCAGAGATCGGTGGTATGCTTCTACAAGATGAGGAATGCCAAAGATTATCAGCAAACCACCAGATACTATGGGAGAGGCATGAAACAGATTCTCCCTTGCAGACCCCAGAAGAGATTGCCCCTGCTGGCACTGTGATTTCACACGTTTATCCTCTGGAACTGTGAGACAAGACATTTCTGTTGTTTAAGCCACTCAGTGCATGGCACTTTGTTATAGCAGCAATAAGAAACTAATGTATACCTGAAAACTACACAATATACTGTGAAATGCTTTTCTGGAAATGCACAGGTTAAATAAATGGAGGAAAGGAAAAGGTTGATGTTTTGGACTGGCCATCAGTAGAGGACAAATGGGCACTTTCCCTTTCTTGAACTCACCATCTCCAAAGAGCTGCAGGATAGCAAGGTCCACCTGGCGCTTCCACCCAGAATCTTTTTGGATGGCAATGCCATAGCCAGTGGAAGCAAAGACCTTCCCACTGCCAATGGTCACCAGCTTGCAGCCTTCATCTCTGCCTGCCATATAGTTCAGCACTGCTGCATCATAGATGAAGGCATCCAGTTTCCTGTACAGGAAAAAAGCAAACAAATCCAATGGAGGAATTTTAGAACAAAACTACCTATGGGGCCATTAATACGAAGCAGTAGGGTTCCAGAAAACTATGTGGAGAATTGGTTCAAAGTAAGGTTTAAATTGGAACTCTGCCAGAATCTAAAGCCTAAATCCCAGGCTGTTCTTTATGTGCTTTTGGGTTGAAAGGAGGAGTTCTTTTCTTCCCACTGGGAATGATGAGAATGTAAGTTGGGCCTGAAGCCAACTCATAAACTGTGTCTGAAAGGAAGAAGGAGTAAAAAGGGATCAATAAAAATAATAACAGAAATAATGAAAAGTAACCACCGCAATGAGCAACAAATAGCATGGGGTTAGATTTATATAACATTTTTCATTTCTCAGTTCATTACAGTCTGGAGTGGGGATAAGTGTAGGTGTTTGTGTTTCAATAGATGTGCAATGCTATTTTTGTGGTCAGGAAGTTTCCAGTATTCTGTCGTGCAGCACAAGGATAGAGGTGAGGGGTTGAGGTGGTGGCAGTACAGGCTTGTGTAAGAGCAGATGAGTGAAACTACAAGAGAAGGCAAACTACAGAAGAATTCAGATCTCTCAAATAAATAAATTACAGCATATAGTTCCTAAACATAAAAGAACTTCATTTTATGTATTGTGCTTTGCAAGGGAGAAATACATAAAAAAGGGAGTAAGACCAGGCATAGGGGCAGGAAGGCATGAATCAATATTTAAAACCAACATTTAAACATATCAAAGGTAGAGGAAGAAATTTAGATATAGCTGTACAGGCAATAGAGAGGTCTGCAAGAAAGAAAAGCAACACCATTATTCCCTTCATTTTTATTAGTTAAGTCACTTTGTTAGGTAACCTATAGAAAGGGGAACACCAAAAAACCAAAGCCCTGATATGAATGAGAATGGTGGGTGGAGCAGGGGTCAGAATACCCAAAGTGGCCCCACCTTCAAGCTCAAATCCCATCTTCTGAGATCTTTTGTGACCGTATCTATGGTGATAACATAGAATCTAACAGTATTTTACGTAACCATGTATCTAGGTGCCTTTTCCAGACCTGGAGCTACAAGGGTATTGAGAGGAGGTCCAAGTGCTGTTTAATCATCATACAACAAAGAAAATGAGCTACAAGACCCCTTGACTTCCAAATCCCAACATCTATAATGCTCCATTATCCATCATCTTCCATAACTGTAGCTTGTGGAGGCCAAATGAACAAAGGGATCAGTTTGGCTGGGACTGTGCAAGCCAACACATGTGTAGGTCATGAACTCCTATGAATGGACAAACACTCCCTAGAGGACAGAGTATGTTAACACAAGCTGGCACTGGAGATCAGTCAACACATTCTTACTGTTAATTATCTAAAAACATTTACACTTTCCCCCTTTTATTTCTCCATTGTCCATAAGACACCAGAACCATAATTTTCACCTCTTAGACAACAGGTCTTTATTTCATACACGGCACAAATACCTTAGCCTTCACTCTGCCCCCCTACTTCTACATTTATTTCACTCTTACTTCGTGGTTACATTAGTGCAACTAGAAAATAATTTGTAAAAAAATACATAGAAGTAAGTAATATCATAGGAATCTTTGTACACTGGTCTAAGTGATACTATCAAATTTAACTTGGAAATCCATAAAGAGCAAATGAAGTCTTCTTTAACATTTTATGATACCAACCATGGTATACCTAGTGCATGTGATTCAATAGTATGCTTAATAAATGTGAGAAACAGATCAAGGACTCTGCGCTTGGAAGCAGTTCTTACCCTGTTTTCAGGGAGAGCAATGCATCATCTACACCCCTCTGGTTGAACTTTCCCATGTAGGCATGCATTTCTGCATAGTTATTGCGAATATTTCTCTCTGTGCTGCCGTTGGGCACGGTCCCAAAGCGGAAAGGGGGTGAGAAGTCATTAGGTCTCTGGAACTGGAGAGAGAAAGACAGATAGAGACAGAGGGAGATGGAGGGAGAGAGAGAGAGAGAAGTCATTTTAGAAAATGTGAAGAGACATTAAGTTAGCATTAGTGGATTTATAATGGAAGGGACCCAACTATACTTCACCAAATACATTAGCCCTCACTCAGGAGCAGCCATTGCTATCTGAAAGCAGACTTCAATTCAATTCAATTTAGTACATATTGTTGAGAGATTTCTATTTGCCCAACCCTGACTTTAATCTATAACCCTTCTGTGTTCCTTTTATGTCCACTACACAATACCAGTGTTGATGGGCCAAAGGAATGTGCTGGTGGCTTAACTGAGGTGGACTAATCACCTTTATTTCCAAAAATTATGTAAAATATGTATTCAGGTATCTTAAAGGCCTAAATACACAGTCATTGCACTATTTGGCCATAGGGCCTTAGTGAGGTGAGCTATGTGGTACTCCTGAAGATAATTTAAGTATCAAATATGTTTGGCTAAGAAATTTTCTTTTGACCTTCCCTGATGCACTCAAAGCTCATATTTATCCCACATGAGTTGTAGGATAAACTGTACAATCAAAGACAATTTTAATTATGTTCCCTTTCTTGCTTGAGACTGAGAGTGCATCTCCAGTGCCTATTATAATAAAGTGAAACCTCTTGGATTTTCATCCCTATGACATCAGTTTTATTTCTGGCTATCACTCTGCAATGCGTAAGTCTTTATGTTGCTTCCTGAACACAAAATTTGTTCATTTGTGTCTTCATGGCCTCATATAGTCCATCTCCTCAGTGCCAACTCATCTATCTCTCTAGGCCAATTTATATCCTTCATTTCAAAATAAATCTCAAAACAATTTCTTCAAGAAATCTTCTGTGAATTCTTTCTTCCATCAAGTCTACCCAAAAGTGACCCATCAGAACGGGTTATTCTTTGTTTAGATCACTGTAATCCTACACATGCAATTACTCTTTAAATGTGCTAGCTAGTCTCTGATGTCATCATTAAGAGTTTAAACTCTAGATTGAAACATACGGATTGAAGACCAGCTCCACCACTTACCACTGTGTGACCTTGGACAAGCAGCATAAACTGTGCATCCTGTCCTCATTTGTAAGAAGGAGATGATAATGCCTAGTTTTCAATATTATTGTGAGAATTAACTAATATAATTCATATGAAGTGCTTGGCACAGCACCTGGTACACAGTAAGTGCCCACTAAATGTTCTCTTATACTATTTTTAATTTGGGTCTCTATTCTGCATCTCCTAGTAAACTGGCTCTCTAAGCTACTTATTCTATTAGTATAGCAATGATCATTGTAGCTGTGCTGTGCTTTGGCGTCAGAACGACAATGAAGATATTTGAAGTCCTCTTGGTTTCAAGTAATAGTACCACTTACTTTGGAGATACATTTGAAAATCTAACCTGCCAACTCAGGAGAACTCTGAAGCTTTGGAATTGCTTGGGATTAGAAGAAATTCTTTTCCTTAGAATATGGGAGTTCCATGGGCCACAAAATATCTCAGCACCAGGAGCCATAAATGCCATCTTAATTGCTCAGTGCTGGCCACGGTCAAAAGTAGAGTCATGCAGTGGTGTTAGGCAATCTGTGATGCATCAAACAACTACTACTTCCTAATTGAGAAAGCTCCCCCTCTGACTCATCACAGAGCTTTTTGACATTAAAAGTTTTGAAAGGGGTTATAATTTTTAAGTGGATAAAAACACTACAAAAGAGTAAGAAAAATCTAGAGCCAAATGGGCCACTCAGGGTTAACTAGCCCAAACCTTTCATTTCACAAATGATGAAACCCAAAGAGGGTAAGTAATTTGCTCCACATCACACAGTGGCATTGATAGCTAACAGATCAGAGCTAAATTCGCCTAATTAATAGTCACTCCTCACTGTCTCCAGCAGATAGCAAGCTTAAAGTAAATAGGGATATGCTTTATTGGAAGAGACAGACCCAGAATGCTTTGCATATCACTATCAAATACAACACTTCAGATGTTTGAAGAAAGGCATTCCCCAAATCAAAAGTAGAGTAAATAACTATGGTAGACAGCAATAAAACTAATTAACTCCCTTTAATCAGTAATTCCCCCACAATACTAGGACAATGACAACTATGTTTATAATGACTAAGATACTCTAGGGCCCAAGGGATTTTCTGAAACATCAATGAAAATTGCAATCATGTCCAATACAATTCTGGCATAAATGATTATACTTTAATTTTTCTGAAAAAAATGGCAATCCATGCAAGGTATATGCAACAATTTTACATTAACTAAATGGAATCCAGTGCCCAGAAGGCCTCACTTCCTGATGAAGCTACATTATAGGCAGTTTTCATATAGCTTTTTATATAGCAATTTTTAATTTTAAATTATTTTTAGATTTCTAAATTCTGTTTTGTAACTATATCCCTGAATAAAGAAATGATAAAGGGTCTAGAATAGCCAAGATCACTTTGAAAAAAGGAAAAAAAAAATGTTAAAGGATTTACACTACCTGACTTTACAATTCATTATAAAGCTACAGTAATCACGATAGTGTGGCATTAGCATAGAGTCAGATCAATGGAACAGGATAGAGTGCCCACTAACAGCCACACATATATGGTACAAGGGCAATTCAGTGGAGATAGAATGGCATTTAACAAATGGTGTTGGAATAATTAGATATCTGTTTGCTAAAAATAACTTCATTTCACACCTCATAAGATACACAGAACTTAAAGTGGATCATATACCTAAAATGTAAATGCTAGAATTATAAAACTTGTAGAAAATATAGGAGAAAATATTTGTAATCTTGAGTTAGACAGAGATTTCTTAGCTACAACACCAAAAGTGCAATCCACGAAAAAAAGGTAAACGATAAATTGGAGTACATAAAAATAAGAACTTCTTTTTGAAAGATGCAGTTAAAATCATAAAAAAGATAAGCCACCAACTGGGAGGAAGTATTTGAAAATAAATTAAAGCTATTAAAACACTAAAGGAATTAGATAATAACATAGCAAGACTTATATAGTTAAGGCATCTTTCAAATGAAAATAATCAGGCCAGGTGCAGTGGCTGATGCCTGTAATTCCAGCACTTTGGAAGGCCAAAGTGGGTGGATCACTTGAGCTCAGGAGTTTGACACCAGCCTGGGCAACATGGTAAAATCCCATCTCTACCAAAAATATAAAAATTAGCCATGTGTGGTGGCATGCGCTTGTGGTCCCAGCTACCTGTGAGGCTGAGGTGTAAGGATTGCTTGAGCCCAGGAGGTGGAGGTTGCAGTAAGCCAAGATTGTGCCACTGCACTTCAGCCTGGGTGACAGAGCAAGACCCTGTCTCCAAAAAAACAAATAATCATTATCATCAAAATAATCAGAGAAACCAAGCAATCAGTACCGGGGAAGAAGGAGGAAGTGCTGGTCTTAGAGGCAGAGAATTTGAATTTGGATTTCAGCTTTGTCTCAGGCCAGCTGCATGAACATGGGCAAATTACTTGAATTTATGGACCTACCCTCTTTTCTGGAAGTATTATTTTAATGAATAAGATAATATGCAAAAAAATAATACCTGGCACATGATGGATTCTCAAAATTCTTAGTTGCTTCTATGGAGATGAAGTTCTAACATTTAAAATTGTCCTATGTAAGGCAATGTTCCCTAAGATTGAAAATTCTTATTCTCTAATTTGTTCCTTAAACTAGGCCAGTCTAGAGGCCAACAGGGAGAGAACATTGCCCCAGAATTAGCCAAAGCATTGCTTTTTCTTTTGAAAATTCTTGTCTCAGCTTGGTGAGATCTGTGAAGTTTACATAAAACAGAGATTTTTTATGCAGTCATTGGAACTTGAACTGTACTAAAATTCACATTCATGGATAACTGTTTAGGGAGGCCATGGAGAAGAAGGAAAAAATAATCTTCCATATATCCTCATGCTTCCAATAAATGCCCTTCTAATAAAACTTACCCCAAGCTGTAAGGCATTATATGGCACTAGTGTAGCCTGAGTGGCAATCAGTGCTTTCTAGGGCTTTGGGAAGGAGAAAAATTTAGCACTGTCAAGAATCAGAAGTCTTAACATTAATAGAACAGGGAGGCCCCTGAAAAAATAATTTTTAAACAAATTTAAAAGCCTAATGTATCAGGGAGCTCAGTAATTGAATTAAAAAACTCAGTCTGATTTCAAAGTAGGGAAATGTATACAGTATTCTTTCTTTTTTTTTTTTTTTGAAACAGAGTCTTACTCTGTTACCCAGGCTGGAGTGCAGTGTTGTGATCTTGGCTCACTGAAACCTCAACCTCAACCTCCTAGGCTCAGGTGATCCTCCCACCTCAGCCTCCTGGGTAGCTGGGACTACAGATGTGAGCCACCACACCCTGCTAATTTTTATACTTTTAGTAGAGACAGGGTTTTGTCATGTTGGCCAGGCTGGTTCCCAACTCCTGGCCTCAAGCGATCCACTCTGCTTGGCCTCCCAAGGTGCTAGGATTACAGGCGAGAGCCACCACGCCGGGCCCAGTACTCTTTATTAATCACCTTTGGTCATAGAGCTTCCTTGAATGTGGAATCTTTTTATAGGAGTCACCCAGATTGGAATTATCAATCAATACAGATTTGGATAGGAAAATAACACAGACAGAGAGGGCCCCATTTCATAGATGAGGAAACCGAAGCCCTGAAGAGATCAAATAAGTTGTTCAAGCCCACACAGTATAGTGGGAGGACAAGCTGAGACTTGGCCTCTGAGTATGGCCTTCCCTTTGCCAGTTGAAATGCTAGCTGAACAGTCCTACTTCCTGCCTACTAGGGAGTGAAGCCACACGCTGTAAGTGGGGCCACGTAGTAAGACTATCCTTCCTTTTGTGGCAAATCAAATGCCAACTCCCATCCTTCCCACTGCATTTAACACAGGGCTTCAAGTAATTGCTGTGAGCGTGCACTTGCACAAGGGCAAAACAATGCCAGAATGTTAAGAGAACTGTAATC